TACTCTCATCATTTCTAAATTAGAATTCATTCTCTTTTCCTATAAACCTCTTCCAAATTTCCTTATTTTTGTGGTGGGTACTGTAATCCTCCCAAGTCATCCAAGTTTGTACTCTAAGATTCATATTTGACTTTTCCCCATATTCAAGCCCTCATATCCAGTCACAAAGTTGTTGATTATACTTCCATGGCATCTTTTTCATTTGTCCTCTTTTCCACACCCTCCTGGCCACTGACTTAGTTCAGGCCTTCATACTTTCCTGGGTTTATCATGATAGCCACCCAACTGTTCTCATTGCTTCCAGTCTCTCCCACTACCACTGTAACATACAGGTAGATGTTAAAATAATATTTCCAAGTATACATTTGATCATGTCACTCTCTGACAATTCCCAAATACTTCTAGGAAAAAAAAGAGAAGCTACCCATTCTAGCACTTCAGACCCTCTATATCCTGGTTTCAATCAACCTTCCTAACCTTATTTCTTTTTGCTCCATTTGGTGTGTAATACAATTCAACCAAACAAGACAATTAGCTGTTCCTAGGAGTCAATATTCCAACTCCTATCTGTATACCTTTGAACAGGTGTGGAATTCTTTCCTTACCTCTGCCTCTCAGATCCTCATTTTCCTTTAAGGTTTAGCTCAGGAATTATCTTTTCTATAATATTTTCCCCAATTCTCACAGTTGTTCCTAGTGTCTCCCTAATCAGACTACATTGTGCTTATTTATCAGTATATATGCTATACTTGCAATAGATTGTAAGCTCCTGTAGATGAGGGACTTCTAAAATGTACCCTTTATCCTGTAATAAGCACTGGATAAATGTTTGCTGAATTGAATTCAACATGGTCCAATGTGAGGGGGAGGGAGAGGGGAAGAGAAGAAGCATAAAACAAGATTGTTTATTTCAATATACTTTAGATCTATAATTAATTTAAGATATATTAAAGCTTAAAGTTGTCATGAAATATAGATTATTCTAATAAATATATAGTTTCAAATCCTACTCAAATAGCATTTGAGACCATAAATGCACAAAATCTATTTAGAAAAATTTCATAGTTTAAAACAGACTATATAAAATTCCTCAACTTATAGTCTTCCAAGTAGTTCATCTGTGAATCGAAAATGATTGAAGACAGCCATTGTGTCAATGGGAATTAGTGCCTAAACAAGTCTTGAAGACCTCAAACATATGCATAGCTTTGTTTTCTAACTTTGAACTTAAATATCTAAAGATGATATGTTCTTTAACAGTGGTATGAGGTTATGAGAGATAACATACCTAATCAGCCCTGATATCTCTCTGCAAGTTTATGTATCTAAAGATAGATCATTATTAGTACATTATTAGTACACCAGTAGCTTGTCATCTATTATGCACTCTGCTTGAAGAGGCAAAAATCACATTTTAGGTATTCTCAGCAATTCTTCAATAATTTAGACTAGTGTTTCTCTTCCATATTCCCCTACTCCCACCCCAAAAAAGTTGCAATTTTACTATGTTATATAGCAATACCACCTAAATTGTAAGAAAGACCTTGAATTTGAAGAAAATAGAAAAGATAAATAGTTGTGTGGATTACAGTTGTGTGGGTATACGGTATATACTCTATACATCTAGGCCCTAATACCACAAAGAAGTCTGTAAATTATATTGCAAAGTTTCATATAACATGTGTGACAGTTATCATGAAAACCCTAAACTCTGAGTCAGAGGACTTAGATCTAATCCTGTCTCTGTCATAGACTAGTTTAATAAATAGGAAATTGTTGAATGATTGAATAAAGGGATTGATAGATAGAATGACTGACTACAGTTATATAACTGGAAGATTCCTTAATTTAGTTCTTAAGAAATTCTAAACAAAAAAAAAAAAACTAATTCTCTTCCCCATACCCTTCCCCCTCCTCTATGCTCTTACCCTAAATTTCAATTGAACTGGGTTTCCTTATTTTTTCAAAATTTTTCACTAAGAAAACTTAAATGAAGGGATTTTTTTATACTTGGTAATTAATTTTAAAAGTATAGATTTTTTCATAATAAATCAAAAATTCCTAAAGTTTGAAAATTTCAATATGACTTACTTTGACTTACAAAAGATTGTATCTGTGCTATTCCTCAGAGTTATTACACCTAACACCACATTTTAAAGATGAACAAGTGCTCATTCTCAGGTCTGTTCAATTCTTGTCTACCTTCTCTACTGGGTTGGGGGAGAGGTGCAGCAACAAATATGGATGGATGGCTCCCACAGGAAGCCAGATCCAAAAGGAAGCCAAAATAATTTGGAAGGTGGATGGGCAAGGAAGAAAATGGACTTGATTTTGAACCAGATCTTCTCTAGTTTAATCTCATATCCAAGTTTGAAAAGGAGTCTGTAATAGAAATATAGGAAGGGAAGGAAAGTGGACAGGGGTGGATAAATTATCTAGAGTGTTTCTCCAAAACTCAAAAGAATATGAGAGGGGGGAGGCAGGAAGGGAAGGGAGAGAGAGACACAGACAGAGAGAGAGACTTAGGAAGCAGGACAATCAAGAAAGGCTTATTTGTAGGGTAGTCCTTGAACTCCATCTTGACAGAAGGAAGAGATTTTGTGAGGTAGAAGTGAAAGGAGTGATCAGGCACAGGGGATTGCCAAAGCAAAGTTACAGAGATTCCATATGGAGTACCAGGTGTGAGACACAGCAAGAAGGCCCATTTAGCCACTTGGCTAGACTATAGAGGGGAAGAAAAAGAGCAGCATATAAGGAAGGTGGCAGGATAAGTTGGAACCAGACTAATTAACCTCTCAAACCCTCTTTGGCTGAGCTAAATTCCTTGGCTTAATTTTGAGATCTTTAATAACCTATCCCTGCTTCTCCCCTTCCCTCTCCCATTATCTCCAAATTTAAACCTAGAATCAAAGATTCTCCAACTTGGTAGGACATGTCAAAGCTTGGGATTCTCTAGCACAGCTTTTGAGAATCTCAGAGTCACATCCACATCGTGATGAATCATTGGAGGAGGAATTTTGAGCCACTCACTCCATTCTCATAAGTCCATGATTTTTTGCATGGATTTTCACTTTTTACTTTTAAAAATCTTGTTAATATTTTTGTTTTGCATCAACTTTATTTCTGATTAAATTATAGATAAATAAGATGGAAATTTTCAATAAACCTCAATTTGACAAAGGCAACGAACACATCTTGACTCGCCTCTGCCTCAAAGACTTTTCTCTATTAAGTCTATGGGCCAATTTGCTTATGTTATTAATCTGTTAGAGCATATTTAATACTCTATACATCTAGGTCCTAGTACCACAGAGAAGTCTGTAAATTATATTGCAAAGTTTCATATAACATGTGTGACAGGTATCGTGAAAACCCTAAACTCTGAGTCAGAGGACTTAGATCTAATCCTGTCTCTGTCACATACTAGATGCACAGTCTTAGACAAGTTATTTCATCTTTCTTAGCTTCAGTTACCTCATCTATAAAATTAGAGGTTTAATGGGAAGACTTATATGAACTGATACAGAATAAAATAAATAGAAAGAGAAAATCAATATACAAAATGACTACAGTAATATAAACCAGACAACAACAGCAATAAAGGTGAAATTATAATGACCAAACTCGACCCAAAAAATATTTTAAAGTGTACTCTCCTTTTTTTGGTATAGGTGGAAGTTTCTGGCATACAAAAATACATATATTGTCAGTTGATATGTGGGCAGTGGATAGAGTACAGGGTTTGATATTAGGAAAAACTGAGTTCAAATCCTGCCTCAGACACTTAATAGCTATGTGATTCCAGGCAAGACACACAACCTCTCTGTGCCTCATTATTTTTATCTGTTAAATGGGGATGATGCATTGAGGTAACATATAGAACATGCTTTGTAAATCTTAAAGCACTACATAATTTTCAACTATTATTATTTGCTAATTATTATGTAATGATTAGTTTTTTCTGAATATTCTATTTCTGCCCTTTCTTTTTAATTCTTTATGAGAAATAAGAGTCACAATGTAGCATATTAGATAGAGAACTGGCCCTGGAACCTGGATGACCTGGGTTTGAGACCAGTCATACCTGTGTGGTCCTGGGCAAATCATTTTATCTTCTCTGTGCTTTGAGCAAATTTGTAAGGGAATAATTTATAGAGAACATGGTGAACTTCATTGGTAGATGAAATTTTCTCACCCAGAGAGTTGCCCATACCAGTGAAATCAAAGGTCTGATCCCTTTCCCTGTTCTTAAAGAGGTTTGATCATTGGTTAGGGGAGGGAGGAAATATTTGAAAGTCAAAGTGATATGAAAACAAGGAATATCAGTATATTTTAATGAAAGAGATAGGCTAGATATGTGCTTAGCAAAATGTGGTCCACAGGCTACTACCCAGGAGCTAAGAATGATTTCTGGACTAGATGGCATTAAAGTCCCCCTTTGATTTCCAAAGTCACATGTACTGCTTATATTTTTCCTCCCTAATATTTTAGTAACACTGAATATTCACCAACAATTTTAGTTTATAGTTTATTGGAAATTAATTTAAAAACATTAGACAAAGATGTTGGGCCGTTAAATTTTAGTGGTCTGCTTTTGGTGTGGGCTAAGTAGAAAAGAATGAAATTAGAATTGTCTATGTGATCCTGAAAGTATGTTATCCAGTGGGTCGGTTTTGGAACAATATACCTTTGTGTGGATGATTATCATTTTTTCATTGTATTTTTTACCACAGAAGTTAAGATTTAATGTAGACTAGTAATTCATTTGCAGTTCCCTTACAACTGGGTATTGTAAGAGAGTCTTTTTAAAATTCATGAACTAGCTAGGATGATTATTATTGATTTCCTGTATTAGCTATTATGGATATAAGGTGACTTGAATTATTTATAACAATGACAATTTAAATGGTTTCTATGTTGTTTTGTTTTTTGTTTTTTGTCTTTTTTTATAAACCTCCACTTTGGCTTTTGTTTCTCATCTAAGTGTTTTTTGCCCCTAGGAAAATGGGAGCCATTAGGCAAATGTGACCTGCATTTTCAAGATACCAGCTAATAATACTGAAGGAGAAGCAAAAACAATATGGATGGCTTAATTGAACAGAATAGTGTACTAATGAACAGTAAAATCAATGAAGCTGGGAAAAGGAACGGCTTAATTAACACCAGAAACTTAATGGCAGAGAATAGAGATGGCCTGGTATCTGTTTACCCAACACCCCAGTATCAGACTCACATAGTGGGGAATATCTCATCCCAGAGCTGCTTAGAGAACAGCAGGAATGATCCAGTGCAGCAGTTACTGGATCCCAATACACTTCAACAGACTGTGGAATCTCACTATCGCCCCAACATCATCCTGTACTCAGAGAATGTGCTGCGTTCCTGGGGGGAGAGTGGCAGCTCGGACTGCTGTGAGACCACCTTTATCGAGGACCGCTCACCTACCAAAGATAGCCTAGAGTATCCTGATGGAAAATTCATTGACCTTTCCTCAGATGACATCAAGATCCATACTCTCTCCTATGATGTGGAAGAAGAAGAGGAGTTCCAGGAGCTAGAGGTTAGATGATCTGATTTTAAATGACTTTACATTTGTTATTAATGCATCTTTGGGGAGGTTCAGTATTAGAATGACTATAAGACTGTCTTCATAATGAAAATAGGTAATGAACATTGGCAATAATGAAGTTGGATCAGAGGTGGTTTGTTTTCTCTTGGTCATATCCCTTTGAAAAGAATCCCATTTAACATCAATAACCTTTGAAGTGCCTAGAAGAATATCTGCATGGACATGGGTCTTAGCATATCTCCGGAAAGACCATCACAAATCCAATATCACACAGATCACAGTATAGTCTAGACTCTAGTGCTCAACTACTACACTTATAATTGGTAAGACTTGGATTTAAATCCTATCCCACACATTTATTTGGTATTTGAAACTCAAAAAGTCACTTAAACTTTCTTTATCTATAAATATGGATAATAATAGCACCCATATCAAAGGGATGATGTGAGAGTCAAAAGAGATAATACATCTAAAGCCCTTCATAAATATTAGGTGTATTGTATGTGTCAATTATCATCACTAGTATAAATTTTATTAATTACCTAAGGACTAATTATAGGATGATTCTTTGTTCCATGTCAAACTAGATTCATAGATCCATTTATTGAGAAAATAGAGACCAAATTTTGAAGTTGCTATGTTTTCCTTGAAGAAAAAAAGGATGTCAGTTATAATGGTGATCAAAATTTGACATTTGTTGAGTATCAAAATTCAATTAAGCACAAACACAGATGCACATTATATATATATATATATGTATATATACATATAGATGGATAAATATAGATCGATATACAGATAGATAGATAGATATAGATATAGGGATTGCCATATACAAGGCATTGTTGTAGCCATTGGGGAATATACAACAGTTAAGTTATGACCTAGTACCTGATTGCAAGGAATATTCAGATTAGTTGGATGAATTAAATCAGCAACATTTATTAAGCCTCTATTGTGCATAGAACACTGTAATTTGCATTGGGAAGTTAATAAGCCATTGTCCTTGAGCTCAAGTAGCTTATATTATTTTAGGAGATTATATATATATATATATATATACACACACACACACATATATGTATAATTCCCTCTAATACACTGACAAGCAAACAGTACTACTTAAGGTATGAGAAAGAAGAAGGTCACAATCAATTATCAGTTTCAGGGAAGATCTTAAATGAGTGAAATTTGGGTTGAGCTTTAAAGAAAGGGCAAGAATTTAATTGACAAATATGGGACATGAAGGACTTTCCAGTTTTAGGGAACAGTGTTAGCAAAGTCACAGAGGATAGAATCATGGAGTCTTTATGGCAGACAGAAAATAATCCACCTTGGTTTGAATGTAGAATACATAATACTAGGAAGCAGGAATTAAAGCTATAAAGGCAGACACCAAGCTCTAGAGGACCTTGAAAACTAGACAAAGGCCAAACTCCACACAGTAGTCATTTCTTGTATGATTTGGTCTAGGTGGTTGGCTACTGAGGTCCTTTCCAACTCTTAAATTCCATGATTTTGTGATTATCTTTCTCTGCAAATCCAACCTTATTGCTAACTTCCTTATTTCTGTGAAAGATGCCACTTTCTTATTTTTTAATTTTCTTTTTAATTTATTAAATAAAGCTAGCATTTCCATAAGATAGTAGAATAAAAAAGATAATTGCACATGAAACTGCAAATCTATTTTGTACAATTTGCTATTCCTCTTAAATATATGAATATACGATAGTTATCATGTAACTTGCTTTTTTTCCCTTTTTTCTTCCTTCCTCTTCCCTTTAAAGATGACTACCATTAGATACAAATATGTGTGTATATATACATGTATATATGTGTAAAATATTCTATACATACTTCTATTTATCAGTTCTTTCTCTCAAAGAAGATAGCATCATAGGTAGTTAATTTGGCTATTTATAATAGTCAAAATGACTTAGTCATTCAAAGTTGTTCTTAAAACAATATTGCTGTTACTGTAGACAATGTTCTCTTGGTTCTGCTCACTTCATTCTTTATTATTTCATGCAAGTCTATCCATGTTTATTTGTTTGTTTTTTCTATCATTTCTTATAGCACAGTAGTATTCCATCACAATCATACACCTCAACTTGTTCAGCCATTCCCCAATTCATGTCCTTCCCTGTAATTTCCAATTCTTTGCTACCACAGAGAGAGTTGCAATAAATATTTTAGAACATATAGGTTATTTTCCTTTTTCCCTAATCATCTTTGGAAATAGAGTAAGGTTTTCAATCTGAGTCAAATGACTCTTCTTTCTCTATCAGCCCTCATATCAAGTCAATTGCATCATACATTATACTGACTGTGGTATATGAAAGTCATTAAAAAGTCTGTAAACATAAATACACAAAGCAAATTCAAGTGAATTAGGGTGTTAATAATGAAGGGATCATGAAGCAAGTAAAACCAGATTAAGAAGAGACTGGAATAATAGGAGAGTTTGATTAACCAAAAGTCATGATATGGGTGAAAAGTAAGCGAGTGAGAGAGATGGAAGGATAGATAGTAGGTTGTGGTCAGCAAGTGGAATTTCAAAGTTCAAAATCATGAAACTAGAAGCAGTTTTGTTAAATGAAAGGGTGTCAGTATGAATGTACTGACAATGAGCTGAATCAGGTTGAAGAAGATCAATGGAGTGAAGAAGGTAGAGGAATTGTGTGTTATGTTTTATTTATTTTTTGATAATGTTTTCCCCAATGACATATGAAAACAATTTAAAAAAAATTTTAAAAGTTTTGAGTTCCAATTTCTATCCTGCCTTCCCTCTTTAACCTCCCCTCCCTGAGATGGTAAGCAATCCAATGTAGAGTACATAGGTGCAATCATGTAAAACATTTCTGTATTAGTCATTTTGTACAGTGACTCAAATTTAAAAAAATAAAAGAATGAAAGAAAGAAAGTGAAAAATATATGCTTCAGTATGTTTTCAGATAATATCAGTTCTTTCTCTGGAGACAGGTAGCATACTTCATCATGAGTCCTTTGAAATTATCTTGGATCACTCTATTGCCAAGATTAGCTAAATCATTCACAGTTCTTCATTGTACAATATTGCTGTTACTGTGTACAATATTCTCCTGGTTCTGCTCACTTCATTTGCATCACTTTTTGTAAGTCTTTCCAGGTTTTCTGAAATCATCCTGCTTGTAATTTTTTTATAGCACAATAGTATTTCATCACAATCATATACCATAGCTTGTTTAGCCATTCCCAATTGATGGGCATCATCTCCATGTCCAATTCTTAGCTCCCACAGAAAGAGCTGCTATAAATATTTTTGTACAAATATGTTATTTTCCCTTTTGTAAAATATCTTTGGCATATAGACCTAGCAGTGGTATTGCTGGATCAAAGGGTATGCAAAATTTTGTAGGCCTTTGGGTATAATTTATGATATGTTTTAAATGGATAACCAATATACAGTCCATGAGGATGATTGCTGAGGATAGTGGGGAGTGGAAAACCATAGTCAGGTGCTAAAGTCATTGAGAATATTGATAGAGTAACTTTAATGTCAATAGACAACAATAAGGATAGGGATGATATGACAAAGAGATTATATAGAGCTCAAAGGAGGAAAGGTTAATGAATGATGGAAGTAGAAAAATGATCTGGAAAGTGCACTGGGAGAAGAACTAAATTGGCTATGAAAAGTTGGAGATGGAGGAAAGAGTGGATTCTGGGGGAAGGGTGGCCAATGATATAATACTCTCAGGGCAAAGTCAGGTTTCAATTAAAGAAAAAGGTAGAAGAAATTTGGAGAGGAGATTCATAGTAGGACATGGTGGAAAGGGCAAAAGGGATTTTAAGGGGTCAAGAGTATGAGTAGGGCTTTTCAGGATGGATTGGGGGATGTAAGATGGAGACATGGAAGACATGCATCTTATATCTAAGGCACTGAATCTAGATGATGGGAATTAGAGAATATTTATGTTTGCAGGAGCATGTTGCCAGTGACAGTGACAATCTAGTCCAACTCATACTTAAAAAAAAAATTTTCTCTCCAATATACCTGGCAAGTTGTCATGCAGTCTTTACTTGAAGACCTCTAATGAGAGTAAACCCACTTATCTCCAGAGGCAGCCAATTCCACTCTGGAATATTTATCATTATTAGAAAAAGCTTTGGTTTGTTTTCTTTAAAATAAGACTGATTTTTCTTCTTTGCTCTTTCAAATCATTGCTCTACTTCTTACCACCAGGGGTCAAGGAATAGAATGAGTCTATGCCTGTTTTGAGGGATTTTAATAACTTGAAGACAGCTATAACATTCCCACTAAGTCTCTTCTTTTCCAGGGTAAATATCCCATATTCTTTCAAGAAAAATCATGTGTGGTAAATCATATGTGATAAATGAATGATAAAAGCGTTCATTAATTGCTAATTATGTAAAAAATGCTATAATAAGCGCTGGGGACATGGTCTCTGCTCTCAGGAACCTCACATTCTAATAAGGGGAGATCAAATATATGAGACTTCAACTATAAATCAGATGGAAATGCTTCATGGTCCTTGGGGGTACAACACCAAAGTGGATGGGAATGTAATTTCTTTAATGTAATTTCCAGTTGTGATATTGAAAGGAGAGATGCAAGAGAGGATGTGCAGTCTTTCCTACATTTTGTAGGTAATTGTAAGATTTAGTAAAATGTTAAGGAAATGTTATAAAATGGTAGAAATTTACCCACTATTAGTAGCCTAGAAAGTGTATTTCTTCTCTCTCTCTCTCTCTCTCTCCCCTTTCACTACATTAAGCCGATAAGGGAGCTTAACAGTTTAACAACATTAATCAAACTGCATATATTAATGGAGCACCTAGTATAAGCCTATGATAGTGCTAATTCCTATATGGAAGATACAGATTAAGTATATGATACGGCACTAATATTTTTTCCATCTATTTGAAGAAATCTGAATAGGATCATAGAAATGTAGACCCTGAAGGATCAATAGAGCTAAACTAGTTTA